TGGCAGCAGGAGTTTTATAAATGCGAGCTTTAATGAAAATGTCATACTGAAAGATTTCCAGAAGTTGTGAATGGGGAAAGTTGTTTATGTGAAGTGAATGAAAATGTTCTGCACTGTTCAGATTGTATTCTGTGCATCCGAGCCTGGAATTAACCAAAAGCAGACTGCTTCACTAGTGGAGCTCATCTCCAGAAATTTATTTAGGGACGCTCTGAATGTAGAAGTATGAGTTAACGGAATATAAGGGATTCCTCACCTTCCACATGAGCCAAGGTCAATCTGTCTAGGCGTACAGCTGGAAAAGCCCAATCTGCTGGTAGCTTGCAGATCTGTGGCATCAGCCTGGGACCTGGTCAAAGGGGCTGAGTGGGCTGACTCTCGACCATCAGACTTGACCCTTCTCCATGACACAGATTCTCAGCCCTGCTGCTATTCAGTGCTGCCTCATTCCACCATCTCTCCAATCACCTCCAGTGGGACGAGAGGATACTGAGAAAAACTGGAAAAGTGAAAGGCTAAACGCCATGATCACACGGGATTTCAGAATTCATGCTCGTGCCTATTTTGGTATAGATTGAGGACAAAGCACTTATACACTTATTAGAATCACTAAGGAAATAAAGCCTGTGTCTGTACGTTCATATAGCTGTACCTGCTTGGAGTTACTAAATAGAGTGAAGTTGGATAAAACAGATGTTAAAATCAGCAAAACCCAGCTTCTTCAGATGTAAGGCTGTTTGGTATCCAGTATTGAAACTGACAGTCATGTAATTTTACTTTTTGTCTGATAAAGGGAAAATCTAGAAACTGTTCATGTAAATGTTCTTTATTTAAATATTAGGCTTTCAGATTTTATCTTAATTTCCAATTGACACATAATCAGCAGTAGTCTGAAGCACTCCAGCTTTTAGTTTCTCTTTAAGTTTTTAACTACCTCGGGGCGCCTGGGTGGCTCAGTCGTTAAGCGACTGCCTTCGGGCAGGTCATGACCCCAGGGTCCTGGGCTAGAGCCCCTCAGTTGGGCTCCCTGCTCAGCAGGAAGCCTGCTTCTCCCTCTCCCACTCCCCCTGCTTGTGTTCCCTCTCTCGCTCTCCCTCTCTGTCAAATAAATAAAATCTTAAAAAAAAAAAAAGCTTTTAAATAAAAATTTCAGAAGATACTAAAGGGATACGGAAATTCTTTTTTTAATGAGAAATCTTTTGGTAACATGAATGATTTTACTCTTTAAACTTTTTACAAGCGGTTTATGTATTAATGTTTAGTATTTTGTTTAATAATATGAACCATATAGGAAAAAAAATTTTTTTTTTAATTTTCACCCACTGGCAGCCTGGTATTTTTTATTGGCAAGCTCTACCCACTGGTTATATATTAATAGCTAATTACAAATGTTCCAATAAAATACTATTCTGTTTACTATAATCCTAAATCTAAAAGGATTTTAGCAATGGATCCAATTATTATCAAAGAAAGCTGGAAGACATATGAAGAATTGCATAAAAACATTCATACATAAGTATTACCTATGTAAATTAATCAAAATGAAGGGTGTTAATTATAAGACATGTGAAGAAGCAGAATACTTTACAAACAATGAAATTCGTAGGTTGAGAGTAGAACCACTCTCTTATTACATGGCTGCTACCAAATCATACTGGGCGTGAGAAGGAATAATTAATATTAGACTATTATATCATGGCCCCTAAAAATGAAAACAACACCCTGCCCGTGGGATGAAGTTGAGCTTTCAAAGATATAAATATTTCTACCAGGTGCCAGTTTACAAACCCAGGAGCAAATAAAGCATTAAAGACTGCTAGACATATACTTAATTCTTTCACAAGGCTTGAGATGGTGATACCCTTGAAAGTAGTTAAGAAATCCTTGGAGAGTTTGGTTAAATGCAGAGTCTCTGATCCTGGCTCCACAGATTTAGATTATTTGGATCTGGACTGGAGCTCAGTACAAATGAGTTTGTTGTAGAATACGGAATATTCTATACACACAAGGGAGTATCACTCCCAAGAATAGAAACTGGGCACATGAGATCAAGGAGGGGGTGATATCACTTAATAAATTACCCCGACATATATTTATTTGCTCATTCAAAGAAGTCAAAATACCTCTTGGATCGAAGACCCACTTAATCAATTAATCTAAACATAAAAAGAACATGAAAGAAAAATGTGGATGTTAGCCAGCAGTAGACAAGACCAAAACATCAGACAACTGATACAAAGGTGAACCTGCAACTATTCTGTGAAGCCAGTGACAAGACAGAGCCATCACGAACCCAAGTAACATAAAAAGGCCAGCAAAAGTTAGCCACCGCTGATGAAAGGGGCCCAGTAGACTGGAAGCCACTGGGCCTAATCCTCCAGCCAGCGCACCTCACTTATCAAATGCAGCCACCATGAAAAGACAGTGCCTGATAATTTACCAGACTAGATTGTAGAACATCTGTGTGGTGTACAAATGTTTAAATCCATATGGTTTATTGAACATTATTTGTATTATGCTTGTTTCTGAATTATAGGTGATTGGTTTCTGCCTGTACCTTTAATTAGAAAAATTCTAGTTGATATAAATGTACCAAATATAAATAATGTTGACTTACCAAATGATATCAGTTATTTCCTTTGATTCTTAACTTACTGCTTGTAAAGCAGATTTGAAAAAATTTTTGATTCCAAACCATAATCAAATAGGTAAGTTGAAAGAGTGTAGTTGGAGAGAACTAGTTGGCAAGGCTTTTGTCACTGAGATTCTTAAATTTGGGCATGCATCAGAATCACCATTCTGACCTACTCAACGAGAATCTCTGGGAATAGGGGTCAATATGTGTATTTAAAAAAATACCTGGGTGGGGGCACCTGGGTGGCTCAGTCAGTAGTCAGTTAAGCATCCAACTCTTGATTTCGTCATGGTCTCAGGGTTGTGAGATCGAGCCCCGCATCAGGCTCCATGCTAGGGGTAGAGCCTGCTTAAGATTCTGTTTCTCCCTCTCCCTCTGCCCCCCCAATCAAATAATCAATCAATTAATCAAACAAACCTGGGTGATTCAAATGCAAAAAGCTGAAGACCACCAATAGAGAGGATTATTGTGACAACATGCTAGACTATAAAATCAGGTTTAAAAGCTTGTCTAACTCTAGATTAAAGGATTCCAGGAATCAGAACAATTTACTAACTCACAGAACAAAATATGCTAGGAAACTACAGACCCATACCTTTTAGGAGAATTGACATAAATTCTTAACAAAATACCTGCAAACTGGTACAAGATCTAATATGAATTATTCACTGTAACCAAGTAGGATTTTAGTCCAGGAATGCAAGGTTGTTTTAACACCAAAAAATGAATATAACAAGCATAACTATAGAATAAAGGACAAAACCACATAATCATGTCAAGACGTTTAGAAAAAGCATCAACAATATTCAATATCCATTCATAAAAAAAACTCTCAACAAACTTGGAATAGAAGAATCCGATCTTAGAGGGGGAAAATACTTCAGAATAAATGCAAGACAGTGCTTCCAGAGTAGTAACAATGTTTCAACAAACTTTAAAAATTGCTTCTTCCTATCCTAAAATATAAAAACTAAAAATATATAAATAAAAATATAAAATTAAAAACTAAAACTTCATTAATCTTAAAATGTCAGAGACATAAGGAGTAGATAACTTTTTTAATTGTCCCAATTCTTCCAAATTTGTTAGGGAGACTGCAATTCATGAAATTCATTATCTAGATTCTTAATAGTCTTTCAAAAGGCATCAAAAGGATGCCAAAGGACCACGTGGGTATTTATTCTATGGCCTTGTGTATTCCCGTACTTCTTGCATTCAGATGGCAGAGTAGAGAACCTGGTAAGCAGACAATTACCTAGTAGGAAGCAGCATGGCTAGACTATAGCAAGAGTGCCATCTCATTCTCCCTGTTCCTAAAAATCTCCATATGCCACAGCCCCGTCAGTGCCCACCCACACTCAATCTCCCCGCCTCAATTATCCCTCCACACCACCCACTCTCCATAAAACCACAGCTGCCTAGAAGGGGAAGGAGACAAGTGAAAGGGTCTTTAAAAGGCATCCTCAACCCACACAAACGGCCTTAGCTACTCCAGGCATGCCCTTCTTTGGCAAGGGCACCCACCAGTAGACTGGGACCTACCAGCAGATCTTACGGGCATGATGTGTAAAGCTACAACTCTAGCTCTCAAGTTCCTTCCCTAACTCCCACTGTGAACTTCATTTTCAATATTTCCTGTGGGGGAAGAGTTTTCCACTCTCACTCCTTGGTAATCCCAAGACTTCAGGAAAATGAAAATAAAAAGCAACAGCTCTCCCTCCTCCAAATTTCAAAACCATTACCACTTCTGCCTTGGAGAACTGTTGCCAAGACAAGAGACATTACACTGAGGAACGCCTCTGAGGACACTCAGGAAAAATATGAGGAAATATTGGTGAATCTTGATTAAGGAAGGGCAAACAGCCTTGCTCATTGCTCATTCCTGACTCATTTTCACTGGTAACTGTGGCGGCTTCTGTACCACGATGGTGGAATTGAGTTGCGACAGAAACCATAAGGCCCACAAAGCCTGAAATATTTACCACCTGGCCCTTTAAAGAAAATGTCTGCTGGGGCGCCTGGGTGGCTCAGTCGTTAAGCATCTGCCTTTGGCTCAGGTCATGATCCCAGGGTCCTGGGATCGAGCCCTGCATCAGGCTCCCTGCTCCACGGGAAGCCTTCTTCTCCCTCTCCCACTCCCCCTGCTTGTGTCCCTGCTGTCGCTATCTCTCTTTCTGTCAAATAAATAAATAAAATCTTAAAAAAAAAAAGAAAGAAAATGTTTGCTGACACCTGGTCTTGATAACCAGAAGAAAGGAGTCATTTATGACGTTTTGGGGGGCTATTTCAAACTATATACTAGAAGTGTCACACATGAATAAATGATGATAAGTTGCCCACCCAGAAACAGGGAGTCAGTTTGTACCTCAGTTCCGATGAATGTAGGACGAATATACAGACTAGCAGATGTTGAATAGGGGACCCACTCTTGATCCAGTTTCACAAGCTGTTCAATACACTCTAAAAGCTCTTCCTTGTCAAATACCTGAAGGAATGGAAAACATAATGAAGAGTGGGATTTTCCTCCACTGTAGCAATAAGTAATGATCCTCATGAAAGCTTTAGACTGTTAAAAAAAAAAAAAAGTAATAATAAAACCAAACAAGAATCTTTTTCTGTCATTTTTTTACCCCAAAATTGTGATGGGATGATGGATTATCTACGTGGAGGAGATAAAACAGTGGATCCCTACCTCTTACCATAGTAAATATCAACTACAGTTGGATTATACATTTAAATGCGATAAAACATTAAGACTTTTACAAAGTAAAAATTAAAAATACCTCTGTAACCTTAAGGTAGAAAAGCGTCGGTTTGTTTTTTTAAGATTTTTTTATTTGAGAGTGAGAGAACACATGCACAAGAGTGGAGGGAAGGGACAGAGAGAAGGGAGAGAGTCCTTAAGCAGACTCCATGCTGAGGAGCAACAAATTTGGTGAAGTTATTCATAACCCATAATTAACCAATGATAACTTGAATATGTTAAGATAGTCTGAAAATGAGTAAGAAAGACACAAATGATCCAATAGGAAAATGGGCAAAGGCAAAGAGCAGTTTATTTCTAAGGAGAAAAAGCTTTTCATATACTAGATGGGTGACAGTTTGTAAAATAAGTAGTTTCTACTCACTTAACAGGGCAAAGAAACATACTTTCAGAGATGTATGTCATGGGTTGTGCAAGGTTGAAATGAGTCAGAAACACACATCCAAGTAGAACCCATGATACCAAGAATTGGCTACTTAAATGAGAACTTAGAACAGCAATCACAGCACAATAATATAGGAAATCGGGACTGCCAATCATATAGGACACATCATCACCCTGAGTCACAGAGAATTTAGTGGAAATAGAACTTGACTAGGAATTAAAGACTTGCACCCAATTTCTTGCCCTGTCCCTTTACTCTGTGACTTTAGGCAAGTCGTTTATGCTCTAGAGGCTTGAGTGAGGTACAAAGGTGCTACTAAAATGTACAACACATACCTTTTTTTTTAAACCCATACCTTCTTGAGGTTCACTGTTATGATTAAACAGAGAAGGAATGTATACCCACATTACACAGTTTATGGCAGATCTGTGGTCCAAAAGATGTTACTTCCCTTTCCTTCTGTCCCCACTTTAAAGTATTTCCTGGTAATTTGTCTGTAATGGCACAAGAGTGAAACTAGTCCAGAGAACTTACCTTCATTTCCCTTTTGGCACTATATTATGGCCTCTGAAGGAGGTGGGTGAGCATGGGTTACAAAAATAGGGAAGAGAAGGAAGAGCCCGGCTGAAAAGGAGTAGTTAGTTGGGCTTCTTCAAAGCACAGCTAGGGCTAGGCTCCTAAAAGTTAGGCACACAGAATTTGTAAAAGCAGAAAAGGACTCCTTCAGTTCAGAAAGGCAGCCTGGTCACGTCTCAGGGAAGAGAAGTAATCTAAGACACCTCCTACCTAGACATGAGCCTTAGGATCTAAATCCAACCCACCAAGTAATGAATTCTGCTCTTTACAAAACAATGTTATAGACAGTCACCAATGGCCATGACAAACCATTCGGTATCATTTTCTTAAAAAAAAAATAAAGCTTGGGGTAAAATAAAATAATTAAATCATTGCAAACTTGCTAGTTTCCCAAGCAATTAGGCAAAATATTCCCAAAATATCTGTGTGGCACACCCTATTTTCCATTTCACATATTATAATTTCATAGGGTCTTCAAATTTTATTGAATTTAGTTTAACGTATATTTTTCTTCCTTATCCTATTATCTCTTACATACACACTAACACCCCATGGACATTTACGAAGAAACGGACTGTGGAACTGCCAAGTGGTATTGCTTATTTGCTTGTATTTTTACCTCACTGATTACAAAGTAGATCAGAAGTAACTTAAGTGTTCATGTGGTTTGTACCGAATATTGATCTAACTACAGTTGACCCTTGAACAACATGGACTTGAACTGCATAGGTCCATCTGCATGTGTATTTTTTTTCATATAGTACAGTACTGTAAACGTATTTTCTCTTCCTTGTGATTTTCTTAATAACACTTCCTTTTCTCTAGCTTACTTTGTTATAAGAATCAAGTCTATAATATATATATACAAAATATGTGTTAATCAACTGTTTATGTTTTGGTTAAGACTTCCAGTCAACAGTAGGATCCTGGTTAAGTTTTGGGGGTATTTTCAACTGCCTGGGGGTCAGTGCTCCTAACCCGTGCATTGTTCAAGGGTCAACTGTATTCAGAAATGATTTGTTTTATGGTAAATTCACAGTGACCCATTACATCAAGAGAAACACAAAAGAAACTCCTAAATTTACATACCGGCAAAGTGGCCCTCACAGCAGATCGGTGCATTCTATCCATGTTGAGGTTTGGCCGAAACAGTCGAATCTTATTATCTACTCCTCGAAATGCCTTCAATCCCTCAAACAACTAAAGAGAAAAAGAGAAATAAATCTTAGGGGATAACTAAATGAAAACAATCTCTGTGTTTAAAAGACTGACTTTTCTATGGGCACTCATATTCTTCATCATGCCAAGCTGTTGACATAGACCAAAGATCTCTAAATCTAGAGAAGCCAACAGTTGACAGTCTGGTTACTATAGCTGGGTTAAAAAGAAATTCTTTTAGTACCAAAATCTGATAGGAATTCAAAGTCATCCTTTCCTTAGCAGGAGCCATATTGCCAAATAACACCTCCATGGAGGTGGGGAGAATACATCTCCAATCACGCAACGTGAGCTAACAGCCCAGTCAATGAAAATGGACGCAAAGAACTCATTCCTGCCGCCCTAAACACACATGCATCCTTTCATTTAATCTGGCTCATACAGACTCCGGATAGTAGATAATCTAAATATGACCAGGGCTGGTTTAGTACCCCAATCACAGAAGCCAAGCAGCCCAAGACCATCCTGTGGTAGGGCCAGGCCACCTTTCTCAAAATGCCATGCCAGACAAATCACTGGGCAGGGATGTTAAAAGACTCTTCTGAAGTAGCTACATACTGATAAACGCAGAGAAAAGAGAAAAATCTATAATTTTAGTGGGAAATTTTAACACTCATTCTCTAAATAACTGACAGAACAAACAGGCTGAAACTCGGCAAAGATATGGAAGATTTGAACAACAGGAACAGCAAACTAACCTAGCGGACAGACAGAATCCTGCACACACCACCTGCAGAATGCATGCTCTTTTCACACACTTCCAACCATTAACCAGAAATCAGGATCAGAAAGAGGACGACAAAATGTCAACATTTTGGAAAAGAAGAAACTCATCACCAAATAAAGTACGAGTCAAAGAAGAAAAATAAGGGAATTTAGAAAACTTGTTGAACGGAAGGATAGTTGGGCCCTTAGAAGCTTTTAGCCTTAAAGCTCAGCTCACGTGAGAAAAGAAATCTAAATCATGTAGCACAATTCAAAGCACTAAATTAGATTTAAATGCAAATATGTAACTTATTAAATGGAACAGGAGTAAAGCTTCAGTTAAAAGAGAAGGTTGTCAGATTTTGGACTCGGCTGAGAACATGTGAAACACACCTGAAACAAAAAGACATAGTAAGCAAAATGTCATACAAATTCTTTCTAAAGTAAAGCTGGTGAGGTTATATTGTTAGCAAATACAAAACAAAATTAAATTTTATTTAATTTTAAGAAAATTAATAAATTTTAATTAGTACATTCAAAACAAAATAAATTTTTAACAAATTTAATTGGAGCATAAAGAAAATAACTTCATAGGGTTCCATTTACTTCACCTTAATTTTAAAATTGTATGCATCTGATGTAGGTTCAGATATAGGTTAAAATTATATGATAATCTCGGGCACCTGGGTGGCTCAGTCGTTAAGCATCTGCCTTCAGCTCAGATCATGATCCCGGGGTCCTGAATCGAGCCCTACATCAGGCTCCCTGCTCAGTGGGAAGCCTGCTTCTCCCTCTCCCACTCCCCCTGCTTGTGTTCCCTCTCTCGCTCTCTCTCTCTCTCTCTCTCTCTGTCAAAAAATAAATAAAAGTCTTAAAAAAAATTATATGATAATCTCATTAAGCAACACAGATGCAAAAAGTACTTCCACAAATCAAAAAGACATGATAGAAAAGTGAGCAAAAGATCTGAATAGGCACTTTAAATAAGATATCCAATTGCCCAATAAACCTATGAAAAGATGTTCAACCTCTTAGAGTAGTGGAAATTAGTATCACAATAATGAGATGCCATTACACAGAAGTAGCTAAAATTTTAAAATCTGACCATATTAGGAGTTGACAAGGTTTTGGAACAGTAAGAATGCTTATTCATGGCTGGTGGGTATAAATATTGGTAAAACCACTACAGAAAATAGTTTCCCTTTTCTTATAAAATTAAAGATACATCCGATGACTTAGCAGCACTATTCCTCGGTATAAGCTTACACAGTATTTCTCAAATCTTTTGGCATCAGGAGGTCTTTAAACTTTTAAAAATGATTATTGCTTCTCGGCCTTTTGGCTAAGATCAAGTGTAAACTTTTAAAAATTATGAAGGCCCCCAAAAGCTTTTATATATGCAGTTATTCTATCAATAATTATCATATGAGAAATTAGAAGTGAGCCATTTAAATTTATTTAACAATAAACCATGACATGTTTAACATATTTTAATGAAGACTACCCATATTTTCCAAAAGGATTATTGTTAAGTGTGGCAGTTTTTCATTACTGTAAATCTTTAATGGGTGGCTTAATGAAAGACAACTAGATTCTTATACCTGCTTTTGCTCTTGCAATATATTGTTTTGGTTGAAGTACACAAAGAAAATTCCAATCTCACAGATACGCACTTGAGAAAGGGAGAAGTATTTTTGATAGCCTTTTCAGATACCTGTGGTTATTCTTCTCTGATACCACTTCAAAAGTTGACCTGTGGTGGTTCCTTGAAGGTTAGTTGCAATGTGGAATTTGAAACCCTATCAATGAAGTTTTCATACTCTGCTAACTTATTAGAATCCAATAGTGTATCAGAGTTCAACTAAAGAAGCAGAACAGGAGATACCTATATTATTACCAGATTTATTATAAGAAATTGGCCAACACGATTGTGGTGGCTGGCTAAGCAAATCCCAAATCTGGAAGACAGGCCATCAGGGAGAGATGACAAGCAGGCTGGGACGCTCAGGCTATCAGAAAGGGAGAGACAAAGGAAAAGAAAGCTAGGTCTAGCTATGTGTGGAGTCTCTTACCTCACAGAAGTCCTAAGGTCGGGCTCACCCAGAATAATTTCCCTTTTGATTAACTTTAAGTCAGATGATCAGGGACTTCAATCACATCTACAGAATTCCTTCACCACAGCACCTAGATGGGTGTTTGACTGAATACCTAGAAGGTGGTTATGTGTATGCAATACAATGGTCATGCCTCCCTCTGTCCTCCATCACTCACAAGAGAATGTCTTGTAGGTATTCTAACTAGAAGGAAACTAAAAATCAAATTCTGGGCACTGCAGTGCAGACTAGCCAAACTGACACATCAAAAGCCATCACAGTCTATCTTGTGTTTTGAATGGATCTTAAGTCATACATAAATTTGTAATGTCATGCAATGGTTATTTGGAAAACGTTAGTTCAAGTTATGCAGATCTTCCAAAGGTTAACACCTTTTTCATACAACGCATTTTTTAAAAATCTGTTAATTTTACTAACATCATCAAAAAACTCTTTAGTAGTGGAAAGGCTCAAGCTTGTGGTGGTGGATACAAATTTTCCAAAATCCTAATTTTTACTTGTAAGCTAGAATTTTATCAATGGCAACAAATATAGTCCATTGTTTTGCTTGAAGTGGCAGACTCACTTTGTTCATTTTCAAGAAGACACCTGCAAAATGCCCAATTCTGTATAATTACACTTTGTTCTTTCAAGTAAAATGGTTCTAAGTTGAAAAAAGCAGCCGATTCAGCTCACAACACATACACACACACACACACACACACACACACACAAATCACACATTTACTTTTCTTTGAGACAACCGTAGTAGTATTTAAGGATGTAGAAGTGCTTTAGGCAAAGTTTCTATTTCATCACACAGATTGAAATGACATTTACTCAAGTCAAAATTTAATAAATTAATAATTATTGCCACTTCACCAAGAACATTCTTAGGTAAAGCTGATGTTCTTTATACTTTAACAGTTGGCAGTAAAGAATATAATGGCTAACTAGCAGAAGCTGGTGTCAGTGTCAGAGTCTTACTGCAAATGTCAACACACAGTGAAAAAGAAAAATATGGTCTTGGTGTTAATGTGAAGTGTTTTACCTTGGCAACCTCTTGAAAGGAGCCCCATACTTTAGAGGGCTTCTCATCTCTGCCTTCCTCCAGCTGTGACCTTTGCTTGGGGCAGGTCGTCATCTGGACCCTGAGTTCCTTTTTCAGACCAGGCTCCAAGTACCCACTTCCCTGGAATTCCCTGCCCAAATGGCCCTGATCCCATTTTCAGAGCCTGAGTGTACTCTCATGTACTCTCCTTAGGTTCATCCTACTGAAAACAGGTAGCACCACTGGTGTGCCCATGCTTAAGACCAACGGATGGCCAAGGCTCATCCATTTGCACATAGTATAGGTATCTACACATATGTGTGTGAGGCTCCTTGTGGCACAGGATGGAGCCAGGACAGGAAGAGATAGTGGGTGAACCACCAGGTTTCTGTTTGCACTTTTGTCCCAGGCCCCACTGATGTTCGTGTGGGTCATGGATGAATAAATCTTACATAATATTGAGCTCAAACAATAGACACACACACACACACACACACACACACACACTTTATATTTCCATTTACATAAAGTTTCAAAAAGAGGCAAAACTAGGGGCACCTGGGTGGCTCAGTTGGTTAGGTGTCTGCCTTCAGTTCGGGTCATGATCCCAGGGTCCTGGGATCAAGCCCCGCATCGGGCTCCTTGCTCAGCAGGGAGCCTGCTTCTCCCTCTCCCTCTGCTGCTCCCCCTGCTTGTGCTCTTTCTCTGTCAAATAAGTAAATTAAAAAATCTTTAAAAAAAGACTAAAAAAAGGCAAAATTATAGTGTTAGAGATATATACAATCTAAAGCAGTCATTTGTTAAGTATTCATTAAATAACAGTACATGTTACCCATTTTTTTGTCAAACTATGTTTTGACTGTTTCAACCTGAAAATGAACTATTATCAAGTTTCATATTTTGTCCAAGTTCCCTACTCATGGTTCATATTTCGCTATTTGAAATCTTCACATATGTATCTATTAAAAAATACTTTTATGGGACGCCTGGGTGGCTCAGTCAGTTAAGCATCTGTCTTCGGCTCAGGTCATGATCCCGGGGTCCTGGATGGAGCCCCATATCGGGCTCCCTGCTCAGCAGGGAGTCAACTTCTTCTCCCTCTGTCTGTGGCTCCCCCTGCTTGTGCTCACTCTATCAAATAAATAAAATCTTTAAAAAATAAAAATAAAGAATACTCTCATAATTAATAAAAACCACATGTAGTTGCAGATCTCAAAATAAAATGGATTCTAAAATCAATAGGGCTGATGAACGGAGGAGAACGATATTTAAGAAGACTGCTCATATATTCGCTTTGGGGTTAAAAAATACAACTACAACTATTTTTGAACTTCAAAATCAGGTTGGCATCCAATACTGTAGTGTCCATAAGTGGGTCAGTATAAGAGAAACAGTCATACCTGTGAAAAAGCCTGAAACATAAATGTTTCAAACACATTTGGGAAGAAAATTTTTGTAATAAAGTATCTGCCTGTTAGTGGGGGTTAAAAGATTAAAAAAATATATGCTGAGGGCAACATCATGGCAGTTTGCTTGTCATCCTATCCTAAGCACACCACACAGTCCCAGGGAACCAAGTAGACCCTCGGCATCCATTGCACAAGTAAGTAAATAGGAAATCGACTGAAATGCTTCAGAAAATTCCAGGATCCAGTTTCTCTGCACAAGGCAATCACATTTCCTAAATCCCTATGACAATGTCCTAATATTTTGCCTGCTAAACCTAAGAGCCCAATCTGACAAAAAGCAAACTAAATGCATTCCTCTACCTCCCCATTTATCGCTGATACATATCACAGGTTGTATTTCCAAAACATAGCCACACAGTATTTTCAGTCCTACATGATCTTCTGGAACCTCAACATTCCTCATCAAGAAAGGTGTATCTCCTTTTTTTGAACTTGAGCAGGACTTTGTGATGGCCAGGATGATAGTTATGACAGAAGTCATGCTGTGTGATTTGGGGGTTAGGACATAAAAAGAACTAGAAGCTTCCATCTGGGCTCAGTGTCTTGAGACACACAGCTTAGAGCCCGTGGCACCATGTACCCAGTCTGACTACTCTGAAGCCACCATACTTGAGAGGCCACATGGAGAAAGAGGGATGCTGGCAGAGCCTCAGCTTTTCATCCCTATCCTTCTGAGTTTCCCCACCCAGGCACCAGACAGGAGTCAGGAAGCCTTTGAACTGACTCCAACCTCAGTCACTATCTGACAGAAACTCCAAGTGAGACCCCAAGCAAGAACCACCTACCCCATCCTAGTCATCAACCCCCAGAATCATGGAAGATAAAAACAAAACGATGGTCATTGTTTTAAGCCATTAATCTGTTACATTGCAATCGACAACTGATGTAATATACAATCCACTTCTTCACGCAAAACATTTCTTGTATCTACATTGTAAGTGGAACAGTAATAATATAGAAAAGTTTTCAATTTTCATTTGACAAAGGATAATGGTAATTAAAAAAAAAAAGTTTTAAACTCTCCCGGTCACAAAAATCTAAACTGGCAAAACTAATAAGCAAACTAGCTTTCCAACTCCTCTGATTAGATTTCTAACAAGTTGTCAAAAGCCAGTGGCCATCAAAATTGTTTTTAGCTTTCAAAAATCACATTAATCCTTTCTCATGTACTTCCCATAGGCCACCAGTTCTCAAAGTGTGGTCCCTGGAGCAGTGGCATGAACACGGCCTGGGAATTCAGGGGAAATCAGAAACTCTGAGGGTAGAACATGTGCTATGTTTGAGACCACTGCCCTAAGATTTGCCATATTCCTTCTTTCGATTTTTTAGGTCCTTCCTTTATTTCATTTGCTCTTTATTATACCCTATGACACAGGCATATACCCACTCTTATTTTATAGTTGAAACTGCGGCTTGGAGCAAATAATCAAAGAACTCATCCAAGTTGATACAGTGAAGACACAGAGCTGGAAGGCAGCTATGCTCACCACTATACCACCAACGCTGAAGACACACAGCTGGGAATAGAAACTAAAGATGCAACAGCCCGTGAATACATCTGGGCATCGAACAGGTTTCCAAATTATTCAAATTTATAATTTTGACCACGTTAACTGGACAGGCCTCTTCGGAATTTTAGTGTATATGTTTAGGAGTGATGTCGCGGGGAGTAGGAACTCAGCATTTGAACCCTGTGTCCTCCCTTAATACTGTGTAATCTTGGCTGAGAAAGTTCACTTTTCTGAACATGCTCCTATAACAGAGAAGGCTGTGTAAGGATTAACAACAGCAGCTAACAACTGGGCTCTCATTATGCACCAGGCATAGCTGTATATGCTTACACAAAATTACCTTACCTTATCCTTATACTAGCACTATGAGGTAAGTACTATCCCTACCTCAATTTCATAGGTAAAGAAATCGGAAGCACAGAGTGATTTTAAATAAGCTTCCCAAGTCATAGAGCTCCCTAGGGAGAAACAGACACCGAATCTGAGCCAGGAAGTCTGACTGTAGACCCTGAATGCTTAACTGTTTTCTCACTTAAAATAATTAAACGTGATGACCCATATAAGGTGCAGAGCACAGTGCCGGAATTGAATAAACACAAGTAATTTTTATCATTACTGTTATGAATATCTACTACTTTTACTCCCTTAATAGGTAGGCCACTGCTTATTTCCAGCACCCCAATATTCTGGGAAAGATGTCCAACATATTAAAAATGAGTAAAATAAAATGCGGGTCAAGGGAATGAGGAGTGTCTCATGGATCTCAGTGTGTATCCTGACAAGGACTAGAGAAAGCATTCTCCACATATTTAATATTTTATGCTCATAATTACTCCACTCATGCCTGAAGGATGACATTTAATTACATGTCTCTTAACACGTATACCTACAAGTTGATGCTGGTCATAAAAACATGCAGTAAGCACTAAAATCTAACTATAATACGGTACTCAATGACACCTTCTCAGTCATTAGAAGATCTGAGACGTGACTAGTAAAATATTAACAGTGCTGGATTTTTGCTTGCAAATTTTCTTACCTACTGTCCTTGCATTTGCTGCAAATGATTTTTTAATTGACATTATGGAAAGTTCAAGATTATCTAAAAGATTAGTTGTTAAGACTTACCTTCAATCCAACTGTCTATGGGAAAAGTTTTAAAGACAGTTATGATTTCCTCAAGTCACTATGATAAAGCCCATTCTGTCCAAAATCTATTTTAGCGGGAAGAGCTACTCCCTACTCACAGTGAAGATCTCATACATCACCATCACTGATTCCCATGTACTCACTTCCACTGCGTAGTGGAAAGCTGATGAGCCAGGGTGCAATGACAGGTTTTGAAGAGGCCTGATACACGGTTTCTCCCATCCAAACTCTGAGGACCACTCCACCGTCAACATGTGATCCGTGAAAACAGTTCCAAAAACCAGAGTGCTGGGGTCTGGTTTTTCCTTTAAAATGGTGGCTGGTGTGATTATTAGATCTTTAGCCTGGGGAAGAAAAATCGACACCATTAGAGAAAAGTTACTGAACATCCACTAGCTGGATGATACAGAGGGTGAAAAGACAAAATTTAGGCCACCGGCCACTAAAAAGTGAAATCATTTGACATTTAAATGCTGGCAATGAACTCAGAAATTTAACAACACTACATGAGCCAAACAAGTCATGTTGGCATTCAGAATTTGGCTTGTTGTTTGAAATCTCTGTGCTATACACTGCCTAATAAAGATCAGAACCAAATTCAACGATATTTAGAAACAGGGACAAAATAGCAGATGGGGTAAAATAATGGAAAAAGGAGAACACATGCCTTCTTTGCTCTCACTACAGGACTCCTATTGAGCACTGAGGAATGAGCTTAGGGGTGTCTTCCAGAACAATGATAGCAACACTCATAATGATTTGTTAAACTAAAATTCAAGTCATTAAGAATTGAATCTCTTGGTGCTGTACTCCAACTCCCTCAAAGAATTCTTGGCATAAGGCTTCAAAACCCCCTGGGTGCATCATTGAAGAAAGGAGCAGAATGAAACAAATGTTTTCCTCTTTGAAAACAGAGAAGTAGAGAATGAACACCAAGATATAAATCCTCTATTCTGTGTTGAGGAAACAGTGAACAAAGGGCCTCTTCTTGAGAGAAAGATAAATAAGAGTAATAGGGAACAACTTCACACAGCATTACACCAACTCTCCACAAAGCCCATTACAAATGGCCCAACACACACACACACACACACACACACACACACACACACACACACACACACACACAAATCAGAGCACCATCTCTAACTTCACGACAGCTGTAGACTGCTGACAAAACCACGGGGGTAAGGAGCTTTTTGATCAGTTAAAAGACAACATTAACCAGGGACAGGTTCAACTTGTTAGCAGGATGTAAGGAAGGTCAAACTCTACAAAAGTACTCATTGTCCCCCAAAATCAAGTACAGGAGTTCCCTTTAGATCATCAGCTCTTATCCTTATATTTAAGCTGATCCAGGGGCGCCTGGGTGGTTCAAGTCACTTAGTTAAGCATCTGACTCTTGATTTCAGTTCAGGTCATGATCTCGGGGTCATGAGATCAAGCCCCGTGTCAGCTCCATGCTAGGCATGGAGCCTCCTTAAGATACCCTTTCTCCCTCTGCCCCTCCCACTCCCAGCCTCATGCACACGCTCTCTTAAAAAAAAAAAAAAAAATCCAATTCCTTCTGATTAATTCACTGCCTTACACATGCCTTAGTCATTTGATATATTATAAATGATAATCAATTTTATTTTTATAATAATATTCACCTGAATGTATTCTAAAACAACAAGAAAGCTCACATTATAGGGAAGCCTAAGGCACTAAAGACAATATATTACTGTAATTTTTAGATTTAGTAATGCTAGTTTGGAATATGCCAATAAAATGCCAAATTTGGGGGCAAATGGACTTTCTTCTACCACTATTTAATTCAAGTAAGTAACTTAACTTAAAACCTTTCATGGAGTGCAAAAATATAATTTATTTAAAGGGATATACTCCAGCTCAATTATTTTGCTCCTTGAATCCCATTTCTCTCCCTTTATCTTCTAGACCTCATCCCTCAAGTAGGATTTGGGCAAATTTCACCTGCAGGCCAAATGCAGCCTTCCGGCCTGTTTTGTAAATAAAAGTTTTATTGGAACACAGTCTAAACTGTTCTTTTAGTTTTAATGATGGCATAGTCCACTAATAATGACAGAAACCTTATGGCCCTCAAGCCTAAACTGTTTATTATCCGACCCATTAAAAAGTTTGCCAGTCCCTCGAGACTGTTTAGACAAGAACTGAGTAGATATTCCAGTTAAATCTCCGACCCTAGCGCAGTGCCTCACACACACAAAATACAGTACAAGTTATCTTAAATACTCAAAATAACATTCAGCTGATTTCTGATGTACTCCCTATAGATGACACACTCATCCGCAGAAGATGGCCAGGATTTAAAGTGAGTAAAATTCTAACATAAACTTTTCATTACATGAATGGTTTCACAGTATTCTTGCACAATGAAGCACTTAGGACTTTGCTTTAGTTAGCTTTTTTTAAGTGGCTTTTCTTAGTCCTGGGCTAAGAAAAATCTGTAACCATATCAATACAGTAACACAAACAATGCAAATTTTCACCTATTAAGACTATTAATAAAAGTTTCTCAATAACAGGGGCGGGTAGTAAGACCCAAAACAGAAAGATGAGAGTAGGTAAAAATGGAGAAGTAAGAGTGTGAGTAGAAGACGTGAGTTTTTTCTACTTGTTGAGTTGGGGTACATCTTCAATATTGCAAAGGCAACAGACCTTAGCCTTTCCCCCCAATGACAGAACCATTACTCTGCATGGTTCTTCAAAAGTAAAATAAAAATCACCTTCCCCGTTATTTCTATCATTAGCAAACCAATTCTCCCATGAGCTAATCAACAAGAAATCAACTACACATGATCGTTATACCGTTCAGGATTTCTAAGCTTTCCAATAAATAACCACCTGCCATGAAAACAATAGGCCTTGGAATATATATTGTATATCAATAACAGTCTACATAATATTTAAAAACAAGACTCCCCTCATATCAAACAACTGTAGGGTGATCTTTTTTTATTTTTCTTTCCCTTGCTCTTTCTTATCTGCTTTATTATTCTTAGTATTTTGCCTTTTTATTCACTCAGCACCAGCACAATGGTTCACAGGCACTGCAGTAAGCAGGCACAAGAGATTAAAAAAAAAAATGCCTTGTGGCCCAGCCCCTCCTTCTCAGGCCAAGTTCACCATCAGCCATGGACAGAAGTAGCCACTGTGAGCAAGTATTACTCATTTAACCTAGTATCTGTTGAGCTACTGTGCACCTATTGCTATGGGCCCAAAGGAATCTCCGGGAATAAAACAAGTCCTGTTCTCTTAGTGCAGGGAAAACAGCATAAAGAAATAAGTGGATAAAAAGAGGTCAGGAGGTGATTAGTGCTATGAAGAAACTGAAAGCTGCTTAAAAGGATAGAGTGGGGAAGAAAAAGCTTATTTTTCGTGGAAAGGTTGGGAATGACCTCCCTGATGAGGTGTCCTTTGAGCGGAGATTTGAATGAAGAAAGAAGGCAGGCCATGAAGATATGTAGAGGCAAAGTATTTGAGGCAGAGGAAGCAAGCGCCCAGGTCCCGAGACGGGGATGGACTTGGCATGTTCGAGGAACAGGAAAGGCTCAGTGTGGCAGGAATTCAGGAAATGTGGGGGGAATGGAGGGACACAGGATGTCACAGAGGCACTGTGGCTGCTGGAGTAGGGAAAGGGAACTTCATGCTATAATGACCAAGATTCCAGTTCTCCATGGGTTCTGACTCTGTGCAATCAAGAGTGTACCCTGTCTGGGGCACCTGGGTGGCTTAGTCAGTTGAGAGTCTGACTGGATTTCAGCTCAGGTCATGATCTCGGGGCGCTGGGATCAAGCCCCACGTTGGTTTCCACAGGGAGTCTGCTTGAGGATTCCCTCTCTCCCTCTCCCTTGCCCTCTCCCCCTCCCCCCACTCACACATGCTCTCGTTCATAAATAAGTGAATCTTTGGGGAAAAAAAAAAGACTGTACCCCATCTTATTTCCCCAGGAATCTTCACCAAAGAGGCTGCTAGCAATTAAAATAACCCCAGTTTACCCCTTTACTCCAGGCAATTTGAAGTAGCCATCAGGGATAATACTAGAGACATGGCTACCATGCTTCCTTAATTTTTTAAAAATATGAAGGAGCAAAGCAGGAAGGGGGAGATGTTTGATGGTGGTAAAATACAAAAATCTGGGTAACACTGAGCTCTTTCCTTAAGCCTCTACATTTCCTCCTCCGCATCAGAGATCCTCAGCCCTGGCTACACATTGGATTTAACTACAAAGCTTTTTAAAAACACTAAACCACAGTCCATTCCAGAACTGAACCAGAATCTCAGAGGGATAGGGCAGGGAAGTGGTTGGTTGGTTATTCAAACTTACCCAAGTGATTCTAACTGGGCACTCGGGGCTCAGAACCACACCACACTATCTCCCTTGAAGATTTCAGCAACCTGAAGAGCAATGGTTTCCAACACTGGCTACTGAATTGGTTCTTCTGGGAAGATTTTTTTTTTTTTCTTAAGGAAATACCACTGCTCATGCTGTACCCAAGATGCACAAAAACTCCGGAAAAAAAGAAAGAAACTCAGGAGTGGGACTTCACATCAATTTTCACTGAAGGCTCTCCAGGAGATTCCAAGGCACTGGAAGTGCTGAGAACCACTTAAGCGATTCAAGTCTCATTTGTGAATTCTTATCAAAAGCCATACATTATTTTGTAATCACAGGACCTTGGTTATCTCAAACTGAACGTATCTAAAATAGAGCACATATTTCCTCCAAAATTTGATCCCTATTTCTGACACCATATTACATTCTACTTTACTTCTTAATCCTTCATCTAATAAAAGGGATGCATGTTTATTATTTAAAATTCTACCATAAAGGGAAGAAAAATGAAAAGTATAAAAGTATAAAATTCCCAACTTTCAAAAAATAAATGCCAATAACATTTCCAACTAGTACCCTGGCCACCATGTTCCCACTTCCCAGACATGACCTCCATTAACAAATTCATTGTGCATGTTTTCCTATATTTTCTTTACATCTTCATTACTTTCAAGATAATTTACCATTCTCAACAACATTCTCCCAGCCCTCAGTTTCCCCTATCAGTAATTGAGACACCCGGACTTTCAAGAATCTCTTTAGTAAGTCTGATTCCTCAATTTCTACTACCCTCTCAGTAGCAACTATCCTGTATCTCTTGGTCATTATAGCATGAAGTTCCCTTTCCCTACTCTTTCTGAACATAATCACATGCTTGATCATAATCTTCAATGTCCATGAATAGAATAATGGCCACAGATAAGCCCAAATATTTTAGCTGCAAAATCAAGTATCCCAAGTATGGCACTAACTTCTTTGTTC